ACGGCGTGGGACGTTGCTCATTATATCGATCACTTGATTGTCTGGTCCATACTCGATTATTTACAGTCTGCGCCATATAGGTGGGAGATTGCAGAGTGCGTCTTTAAGCCCCAAACAGACAGACAAACAATACAGATTCTGCTGGGGCCGGAAAAGTTATAAAATGTGAAATAACGCATAAAATACAACTGAAGATATTTGTCAAAATCAAATACAAACTAAATCGATTCGCTGTGCAGACATATTTCACTGAGTTAAAGTGTACGATTACTGACACTTCTGGTGAAGGGAATGGTACCGTCTTAAACTGTATATCGAATTGAAGTAAAGAATGAACGGGATGTCTCTCTTTACTGACTCTAGGACAAGGGTTTAAATTAAATGTTGGACTTTAGAAGCGCTTTCACCTAGAAATGAAAGTGTTGTTTATCCTGAACATACTGATTCATCGGAATTGATGTCACCCTCTTATCAAACACGGACATTCTTTGTCTCCCGTTTCCTTATATCCCGGGAAGGAAATTGATGTAGCGTCTTTGTTAAAAGATTAATTCATCTCTTTAAGAGATTGTCCATGCGTAACGTCGACATTGGTATTTTATAAGAATGTTCTTTCAACCACACATTACAGATTTTTTAGATGTGTGAAATAAAACGCGGAGGCATTTTTATCTTCGATTATGGAACTATTTTTATCATATAAATCCTTCGTTTGATTCACCTGGTAATGTAAGTGCAATTAGTGATCCTTTTCCGTCTTAAAAAAGTCGATATTGTGAAAATGTTTGGCCTGAGGTAATTGATTATTTGCTTGTCGATATTGCTACCGCCCTCTTTCTATTTATTTCTTGGGAGGCTATGATTTATGTCAGTCCACAAGCCCCACGCTCTTAACCAATAATCTGCATACAAATACGAAAGTATTATATTTTGCAAGATCAACGTTGACACATTTAATGGCTATTCCCACATAATTATTATGCGACGTTCCGATGGTATCGTCCCAGGCTTCAGGCCAGGTGTAATGATTTCTTTCTAGTTATTTTCCTCATGACGTGATTGGGAAATTAACCGTGATAATACTGGACAATACCATTGGCTGATAACACAATCGCAGATGGGTTAACAGGTAACAATTAACACTAAATGAAATCATTTATTTTATCATTTCAACCAAACTGGACTATGAAAGGTAAGTAATACTTATCATGTGATCGTTTAAAGCAACATACAAGAATGAGAGAAAGCGGCATGAAGCTATATTGTGGTATCCTCTGCAAAAACAACAACACAAAAGCAGCAAAATCTTAAATATCTGACAGAGTGTTGCCGACATCAATACAAAATATTTACCAAAAATGAATTGGTCATTTCTGCATGGATTGGGATTGATTTGTGTGGAAAGAATGAGGTACTGCAGAAATGTGGTAACAAAATTGGAAAAATCGCAAAAACACAACCACTTGAGAGCCTTTCGCCGAAATTCACCAACATGACATGCACGTGAAACATCACTTGTTGGGCTATGAAAGCGTTGGGTTTTCATTTGCATGTCATCACAGTCTTACAGCATAATCAGCGAAAACATGCCACGACTGACGGAAGCCCAAAGCAACAACGCCATCGGCGGACTGCAAACATGACAATCATCTTTTCCACGTGGCACCATGCACCATAACAAGACTGTGGAGCCGTTATCAGACAGGCGGGACAACACGGGACCTTCCCAGTTCCGGTTGACCACTTATCGCTACGGGCAGATTCATACGGCAACGTCACTTACTTGAAAGAACCACCACGGCCACCTCTACAACTACGGCAATACAAGGATTGCGTAGGATAATCAGCCCAGACAGTGAAGAACTGTTCACGCGCTGAGGGTATTCTCAACTTACCACCAGTTCCAGGTGTCATTTAACGGACCTGCATCTTCAGCTGCGACGTCAATGGTGTCAAAGTCACAGGGTATGGTCACAACTGCGATGGAGACAAGTTTGGTTTAGTGACGAGTCACGTTTTAGGCTTCGTCGTGCGGATGGTAGTCGCCGTGTTTACAGGCGTCGCGGGGAACATTATGCACAAAACTGCATACAGGAAGTGGACAGAGTTGGTGGTGGTAGAGTGAGGATGTGGGCAGCCTTCCCTTACCCTGGGAGAACAGACGTGGTGCAAGATCTGGGGAATTTGACATCACAACCTTACACGGATTAGATTCTTCGGCCACCCATCCTTCCAATTATACAACAAGCGAACGTCATTGTCCCAACAAGACATCGCCCGCCCTCACACGGCAAGACTGACAACAACCTTTTGTCAGGTATCATAACATCTTGGTCCTGCAATTAGAATTCTCAAAATATGTATAATACTTTATGACAAATTAATGTTACTAACAGTATTTAAAATGGAGCTGTGTTGTCTTTCTTCCAATTCTGACCGCCTCCGTGGTCTAGTGGTAGAGCGTCCGCCCGTAGAGCGGAAGGTCCGGGGTTTGATCCCCGGCCGCGTCATACCAAAAGACGTTAAAAGATGGTACTTGTTGTTACCATGTCCGGCATTAAGCGGCTAAAACAAGGACTGGTCGGCTCGGGGTCAGTATACATCAGTCCGGACTAGTACAAGCAGACACACACACACAAAACACACACACACACACACACACACACACACACACACACACACACGTGCATGCACGTCGCCATATAAGTGCAATAATCTTGAATAATCCCATTTCACCTCACCTCACCTTCTTCCAAATCTGTACCAGGCACTCATGTTAACATGGCATGTGAAGATGTTTTTTGCACCTCATGTGACACGATGCATCATTTCCTCTCGAAGGACTTATTTTCACTCGAATTGTGTGACGTTAATTGACAACGCAGATACCATGTCTGAGCTGTCTATTGCTGCATGTATGTTTAGTGTAATGCGATAACGTAGCGTGTGTTTATCTATGAGCTGAATTTGTTGCAGACTAAAATCAATCAATCAACAACATTGATTTTTTTACTTTTCAAGAAAGACAATAATCGTTCGAATTTTACCGTTTTTCTCATATTCCAGTATTTCTGTATTTTCAAATAATAGACGGTTCATATATTCTTCTTGATTTTCTGTTTTGGAATTATTATCATTATAACTTTAGTTTTGTTATTTGTTTAACTACCCAGTCAACATTTCAGCTATATCATGGCGGTCTGTAAATAATCGAATTCGGGCCAGACGATCTAGGGATTGATGTTATGAGCAACGTCCCACGCCGTCGGGGTACATAACTACAATGTCAAGCTATCAACCAAGTCACCGAGCCTGAGCCCCAAAGTATTATGACACCAAGAGTTTAGTTTTATAACGGCTTCGATGCAGACACTGAATGTTCCAATGCGAATGTTTTTATTATAGTCTTATACTTTATTCAATATTACCGTTAATATTTGATCATTGTATTTTCTTTAGTAAATATATTGTGTAACAGCGTTTAAACAACATTAAGTGAAACACTGTTAGTCCGGAACTCCACCTTCCGGACCTTTACAGTTGCGAACGTCTACGCATTATTAATGAAACAGTACTACGGACTTTGATTCTTTTACCAGGAAATTCGTTAATCTGCACAATTGCACCGGATAGATTAGGTTCCACTGTGATTTCTATTTCGCTCAGAGGGTCTTTTTCATGTGACGCTGTTTTCGTTTCAATTGAAATGTTTAAAACCTACTTGTTAAATCTAAATTGTGTTTGTGGAGTTGATTAAAAACCAAAAAGATACGAAAGATAATGAACAGTTTACACTCCTTAGGAAGCTGGGAATACAACTGAAGTGTACACTGTCACGTTGGTAAGAATGATTATACATGTTTCTCATGCATACAAAGCATGCCCCACTATGATATGGAAGTATTAACATTAGACTGTAAGAGTATTGAAAGTGGAACATGATTTGAAGAATCGTTCACGAAGACATGGTTCAGTATTACCACACGTAAGATAAAATTCTCTTAACACTAATTATCTGCTGACCACATCCCAAAAGATATATCACCTAGCCAAGGAACATGCCTCCATTAAAAGTAATATGTCCGTTTATTAATTTACTGTTCATGAGCAACGTTAACGTGATGACCTTGACCACTGACCTCGTGACATGTTCAAGACTACCCTGACATATGCAGCATCCTCTAAAACTCTCAATAATCTCAGCATGCCTTTCAGGAAAGAAAGAATAACCACCAAGCCTTCGTTTTGAAAAAGAACCCCAAACCAGCTCTCCTAACATTGTCATGTAGCTTCTGGCGATGCAACTGTATTTCTGGATTTAATACCATTTATTCATCATCAATCGCGTGTGAAATTGAATAAAAGACATAACAAAAACGGGATGATTCGCTTTTGGAAAATACGTATTTTCTCAGGTTGAAGACTTTGAAGCTTAATTAGCTGACGTTTTCGGTGTCAAACTATTAAACTTTCTGTAACAAGTAATATAAGATGTATTTGTGACATGACTGCCGTGATTAACAGCCATTGAAGCTTACATGCTATTGCTGTTGCAGCCATTCCCCATATTAGTCGCTAATAAAGACAACTACCACTGACATGAAACACAGAGCGCTGCTTATCTCTTCTTATGGGATCGCCAAGAATAGTATCAAACAAAATTCAAAGTTATTTGAGTGTCAAAGATGTTAATTGTGAATGATAAATATTATATATTTTTTTCTTTATGTCGAACAATATTCTAGCAGCTCCAGCTTTGGTTTTCAACATTTCATAACTTTTGAAGTACAATCAAGCATGCTCTTTCTACCAAGATTTAAAGGCAATCAGACGACGCTTCATCAAATGATCTTTGATCAGGCTAACAATATTCAAGTCCGAATTAAGTTTTATGGTATGGTCGGACTCGCAAAATGGATTCTGCTTTTAGCAAATATTTCACTTTATTATGGAAAGATTTTTGTCGCTATTATTTACATATTTCCATTTCTACATTTCAGGCCATGAATGCAACATCGAGTGCCGATATCAACTCAACCACAAGTTCACCCCAAAAACTGATCGAAGTGCACACATTGGAGATCCTACTATGGGTATTAGAGAAACATGTGCCATTTGCAATTGCAGTCAACAAGTGTGTTACTCCTATCTGGTACGCTATTGGTACCATTGGCAACATCATGTCGGCTGCTCTTTGGCTGAGCCCTCGCCTACGGTCATTCAACAGTCCAGCCTACTATCTTGCATCCCTGGCAATCGCAGATGAAGTATTCCTCTTACTGCACGTCTTCTATGAATTGGAGAACCCGTGGCTGATTGGTGCGCTTAATCTCAGTGGATGGTGTGAGACGTGGAACCTTTTGTATATGGCAGCCCAATATACGTGTGTGTTACTGGTATTTGCTTTTACGGTTGAACGATTCCTGTCAATATGCCACCCTTTCAGGTCCGAAAGGTTTAGCCGTACATCTCGCTCACCTAAAGTTATTGTGGCAATTGTCATGATTTCGGTTATGTTTGCTTCTCCACAGGCATACTTCTGGCACGTCACAAGCTATTCAGAATGTCAGCTGCGACATAGTGAAACTGCTCAGGGGGAGAAATCATTCTATTATATCTGGTCCTGGGGCTCAGAGATGATTGTGTTTGGAATTGTTCCCATTCTGGTCTTGTTTGCAAATATTTGTGTTCTTAGGAAGATGCGCCATGTTGGCCAGTTAAAGATAAAGGACGCTACAACTATCTCTACCGCCAACATGAGATACTTATCAACCACCATCACGCTGCTTTGGGTATCTTTTTTTCTCATTATTACAACTCTCCCAGTAACGATAACATTTGCTATTCAAAACAGGATAACACTTGGTCCAAACCTCCCCCTTCAGGAAATGGCGGAGAACTCAACATGGCAATCCTACTTCTCCTATTACACTGCGAGGACCATAATCAAAGAAATAGGCATGTGTCATCATGTATGTAATATATTTATCTATTGCCTCACCAGCAAAAGGTTTCGCCGCAGAGTAATGCATATCCTGTGTGGGCCTCTGGTTTGTTCGAAACCCGCAGAACGGGAAGAGTCTTGGAGAAATCCAAGCCCTTTGTTAAAGGATACGACAAAGATCTGTCTTAATTCAAGATGAACAATTTCTTTAACTCCCAGCCTCTTGCCATTTGACTCAATTGCTCACTGCATACTTAAAGTTGCGCGGTTTAAAAGGTATCAATTTAAGACCGTCAGGATTTGTTACAAGGTCTTTGATGCCAGACATGTTAAACATATGCCTTTACTTATGAAACATTTTATTCACGAAGAAAACGCTTCCCTTCACCTGTTTACCTTTGTGGATGCTCACAGTTCTTCAGGTATCTGTCTACTTTTGACAAGTGCTCACAACTGACTGGATGCTCTGACGGCATGGACATATATAGAATCGGAAGATGGTATTCTACTGTATATAAATCTATGGACTGAAAAAATGCATTTTATGTAAATAACCGAAAACTTTACGCGGATTCGTAAAGTAATCGATACTATTTTATACTCTTTCCTTAACTGTTTTAAAGGATTGTATAATTAAGGAATAACTGTTGTACATTCCTTCTTGTTATGGTACATTCCATTCCCTTCTTACAGTTGATAAATTGTCTGTTACTTCAAATTCATATCTGTTTGATGTTCGATTTCGTTTTTGTATATGCTAGTGTCTTAGTGGCAGTACTACTTTGGTTATATTTTTTAAATATTTCCGTTTGAAATAAAAGTTACATTTGAGTAAAATGTTATTTTTGACACTCTGGATGTGTAAATGTAGTTCCAGTATTATTGCACTGGAACCGTTTGTATCAAACATTAAGGATACATTAAACCTCCATTGACTAATGTCCTTTAGATTCTACTGTTTCAAACTATATATGACAACACCCTTACATAACGGGCCATTATCTTTATAGGGGTTTGGGGATACCGTTTTAATCTGTCATTAAACCAACCATGCCTAATAATATGCGCTAATATGCAGGGTTCCTGTTGGCATTGATACCTCCAAACGATTTGTTTCATTGTTGTTTGACATTGCATTCAGCAATATTCCAGCTATATGACGGCGGTCTGTAAATAATCGAGTCTGGACAGTGATTGATATCAGGCGCATCTATAATTTCGCTGAGTGTGGCGTTAAATAACAAACAAACAACGATCCACGCAATTGAGATACAATGACATGCATCAACCACGTCACAATGCCTGATCACCTGATGCCGTTAGTCGCCTCTTACGACAAGCATGGGTTGCTGAAGACGTATTCTAACCTGGATCTTCACAGATCACCTCCAAAAGCGGTCAAGTACATCACAGATGAACGTCAAAAGCAATTTGGCAATTACTTAACAACTTTCGAGTAGAGAGAGCGGATACTACGAAGCCACTTGGCAGATGACAGAAAGGGGAATGTGCAAAAACGAAGTTTTCGAAATTGTGGGAATATTATAGAGGAATACCCTAATTTATTTAGATAATACTCTTAAATTGACATTTAACACTAAAAGTATCATTAATAAATGATAGTTAATGGTAGTTTAATGACGGTTTTCTACAATTCATTTCGATGCTGCCTTTAACACATAAAAAATTAGGAGTTTAATTTACTCTTAGGAATTATTGAATCCAGCGTTCAATGAAATCTTGATACAGCCGGTTCATGACTTTTACCTAAGTATTTATTATACCCATGACCTATAAGGGCGGGGTATATACGTGTAGCTATACCAAGGATTTCCGTTCGTCTGTCGTTCCGGCAGTCCTTCCTTCCTTCGTCCGCTTGTCTTCCGAGGACATTTGTTGTGTGTCATAAAACTTGAAAACTACTGCATGGATTCTTTTCAAACTTGGTGAAACACTTTATGCCTATGGGAGAGGAGCAGTGCGAAATGTGATTTCGATATTTGGATTTTCTGAAAAAAATACAGCTTTTTGCATGTTTTGAACTTAAAAATATGCTGGAGTCGAAATCAGGGGTATTAGTGAGCCCAGCTTACTTTTTGTCTTGTTTATATTTAAATTTACGGATCCATGAATTAAGTATAGATGAACCGAAGGACGATAAGTTATTCATAATGAAGAAGTAAAAAGAACAATAAAAGAAAATGATTTATAGAAAATAATGACAAATGATACGTCCACTATCTGGTCAGTAACACTTACCATGGCAAACTCCTACCCACATCAACCTTTATTTCACTCAAGGGAACCACCAGCGTTGGTACATGAGCAATACAATTCATTAAAATTATATATATAACATGATACGGCAAGATGAAAAGTCCATAGGCTCAATGATTGAGTTAATACTTTTCGAATGAACTGTAACATTGTGGAGAATATGTTTCGGATGAACATTGAACTACACAGATGATACAAATAGTGTTCTATTGTTTCAGAAGATTATTTTATGCAGTAACACCAAGTAACCTTGAAAGAAATATTTTCAAATTGTTAAAAAAATTAATTAAGACCAATGTATTTATTTACTTTTGTGGACAGGTATGTCCCAGCAATGGCCAAAGTACAATAAACACAATGGGTCTATCTTCAACTAAAATGAGTATTCAGGAATACGATGAACTTCGATACCTTTTTTTATAAAAGATAAGTGTTTCGTGTTCAATAGTTTGGCAAACTTAAAGATGTTTGGCCAATCGTAATAATATTTATCAATCAAAATGGCTCGTTTGTTGGATAGCGTTTTACATCGGGACAGGTAGTGGAACTCTTTATCAAGTGCATTTGTATCACACCGTTTGCATAAGCGGTCTTCTCGAGGTAAACCGGCCCATGTACCCGTCTCTGTTGTCAATTTGTGGATACATGTACGAAAAAGAAGTAAAAGTTGAGAAGTAGTAAGTAATTTTCAAATGTTGGGTAGTCTTAAAAATACTTGTAGTAATTCCCTTTTAAAGATGACAATTTCTCCATAACTTGCTAAACTGAAGGCGTAGGGTATTTCAAATTAGAATAAATAATTTATAAAATCAAAGATGTACGTAAGATCACAATTGTAAAAGATACATTTGATATGATTAAGCCATAGAAAGGGGGTATACTTTATTTTTGTGTGATTTACCATAAAGTTTAACATAAAAGGCGCGATGTTATTTGTGACTCAGCTCAAACCAACATGTTATCATTCATTTTGCAATTTTAATACTGAGCGGCTCTCGCCCGAGTTCGCCATATACCATGAAGTTTGGCGTGGACCCCCTTATACCAGCAGTTAGTTTTAAGAATTATAGATGCAATTTTTCGATTATTTCGGTGTTTCACCTGTCAGCTGGATCTGACCCAAAGATGACCATTTTCGTTTTTTTACTATATTGGGATCTATTTTTCAGTCATTACAGTACATGTACGTATGAGATGTATTGAGAGTATTCTGCAGCAGTTGTCTATTTTATCCAAATAGTACTGGATCATCAGCTTATAGAGGTAACAAGAGTTTCATATAAACTAACTATTCATTCGAGTTATGGTATTATAAATGAATTCTTTATTATAGATAACCTATTATTATTATTATTATGATGATGATGATGATGATGATGATGATGATGATGATGAGGTATACAGCAAATAAGATTGGTAACGCCAGTTAAGCAAGGCAAAAAATCGGACATATTAACAGTTATCATCACACATGGTATAATGTTACTATACATATTTGTGATAACATTACATATTTTGCCTTTAACGACGTGTCTAAGAATTTTGGTCAAAAGCCCTACTCTCCATATTTTGTAGAACGCCTTAGAAAAATCAATTATCACCCAATACTAGTTCTTTGATTTTAACTTTTGAGATTGGAATAATATGATCTAATGTAGAGAAACATTAATATGAGAAATAATATCATATCCTTCCAAAAAATCAGTAAGGCTATTGTCTGTATGTGGAAGGCTCGATGCAGTCGCCCTTTTTTTTATAAATAGGCCGTAATATTCCAGAAAGCCAAGTGGTAAACAAGTGAAAATATTTAGCATAGAATGGAAATACTTTTGAAGTTGAAGAAATTAAATATTCATTTCTAATCCAGAAGACTTACTCGCTTTTAATCCCTCAATGGCTGTCAGTATTTCTGTTTCTGAAATATCACTTTTCTAAACCTCATCATTAAAATACGAAACGTCTTTTTCATCCGTTTCCTCACCATGGATGTTAAACATCTTAAAGTATTCGTAGACGGTGCTTAAATGGACCTTGCTATTTTGTTCATAACATTATTTGTTATTAAGTTGCTCTTTGTGGGATCATTTCAAATTTTCACTGAGTTGATGTTTAAGTTTTGTCTAATTTTCAGTATTATTTTACCCATAGCAATCGGGTAAATATTTAGTTCTTTGTTCATGATTTAAAGGACACTATAAAACACATGTTATGATGTTCATTTTTTCTGCGCGTTAAAGCAATGAGGAAACATTGCTGTGTAAAGATGATTATCGTTTTATCTTCTGTAAAGTTGGATATTGAGATTGTTATTACCACATCTAAAATTCGTTAAGGATATCCGGGCCGTAATTGCAAAGACGGTACGCTTGAAAATAGAACTCGGGAACAATGTCAATTTTGAACGGAGGGTATGAGTGTATACACAGATTTATAGTTTAAAATATCAGACGGCCAATAATGAAAATAAGGTTCTTTACAACGTTGTTTAAACATAGTTCAAAACAGTTCCTTTTTTCCAAAATAGGCACAATCATAACTCAACAGTCCAATTAACGTGCCCATTATCATTAAATACGTAAGCATTTTGCAGCAGCGTTTTGACTGCTTGATCCAAAACTACATGTACAAACCTTTACCCGTTATGTTACAGTGTTGCTGTAAATGAAGCTAGATAATTTCATGTGTCATTGTGTCCGTCATCTGGTCAGGTTACAAACTTCTACCCAAAATGTTACAGTGTTACTGTACCTTCCACCGTCTAATAACATGCATCGGCGTGATACTCTTCTAGTCGGTTGACAACGTCTATCAATTGTGTGACAATGACACTGTACCTGCATCTAGTGGTGTTAAAAGTTAACATCGCCTCAGCATTATTTCAGCCACTTAACGATCCAGCTAATTAAAGGCGTACATTGCCCATGTCAGTGTGTCCACCATCTAGACAGCTCCAACGTCTACCCATAGTCCGATAATATTGCATATTTGCACATGTCAGTGTGTCCACAGTTACGACAATTACCGCCTTCTACTCCTTGTGTGACAATGTTGCTGACACCATGTACATGCAACCCAGTAAGTGCACATGTCATTATGTTCACTATATATATATGTATGTCAAACTACATCTCTTGACGGCTGCGTCGGTTCATTTAATTATACAACGATATGGTCAGGACACAACAGGTGAGCACATCCCAGCTCAAAACAGCATGTGTGTCATCGGTGAAACAACCGACGGGATTTTACCGAGAGACCTACTACGCTGGCAACTTAAGAGACTAACTTGCTATTTATACACTGATAGGCCATTTCAACGTTCAACAGTGAGTTGGTGTGTTTTCTTTAACGCCTCTTTTAACAACATTCCGGTTATATCAGAGTGTCAGCTTGATGTGGTAGGAAAGCCCGAAGTGTTGGAGGTCGCAGACATTTACCACTTTGGTGACAACCATGTGGACGGTTAATTGTCTTCCTGTTCGTCGTTCTGAGTGAGTGAGTGAGTGAGTGAGTGAGTGAATTGGGATTAACGCCGCCTTTAAAAGTATT